TCTTCATCAAATGGCTATAAATTTACGAGGATACAATCAAACCTCTCTATAACAACGTCGTTTGTTCCGAATATTTTTAGATGTTATAGTGAAGTGTTGTTATAGAGAATATATATTACTCCTTTCGTTCACTTTTACTTGGCATGTATACTAAAAATAGATTTTCATTTTTACTTATCATTTTACGTATATTAAGAGAAGACAATTTTTTTTCCTGTTATACCCGCATTTTTTATTACTCATTTCAAATCCTTTTCTCAAATACAATAAAATATGCATCAATTAATATGAGTATCATGGTAAATTATGCATTTTATTTATTATTTCTTAATGTACGTGAAAAGTCAAAATGTGTCAAATAAAAGTAAACGAAGAGAGTATAACATAACATGAAAATTATTTCCGGAAAAACTTGATTTTTATAGTGAAGTGTTAATATATAGAATATAGAGAAATATGACTGTAGTTACATTCTCCATAACTTGCAATTGCGTCAATCTGCTGACACTCTTTGTTTCCAAAATACATTAACAAAGTAGCATTACCTAATCTTGTGGACCATTAATATCCAATCGCTTTCTTTAAAATTCTAACTTCAACGATTAGGTAGAATAATTTTTTAAAAATAATTTTGTTTGTCACATGGTGTCTATATCTGCATTGAGGTCCCGGCTAATCGGATCACACTGCGTAATGTTCTTAAAGGAGCAGCTCTCCGTTCCAGCATTTTTTCTATAATCAAGGCTTGAATTCAAGACTTTTGGTTAAAATTGAAAGGATTCTATTCGTCCCATCATAACGCTTAAGGGTTATTTGATAGGATGTATCAGAGAAAATAATATATATGTATTAACTTTGACATTATTAATTCCTTATTTGATAGTATTTTTTAACATATGTATAACTAATACCAATATTAGTTATATACCATATTTAGTACTATTCTTATACATAGGAATAGTACTAAAGACTTGCATATGGTATTTATCAACTTAGAAAAAGCGTACGATAAAGTTCAGAGGGAAGTTTTGTGGAGATGTTTGGAGGCTAGAGGTGTACCTGTTTCCTACGTTAGGTTGATAAAGGACATGTACGATGAAGTAAAGACCCGAATGAGGACGGTGGGTGGGGACTCGAACCATTTTCCGGTTATGATGGGGTTGCATTAGGGGTAGGCTCAGTCTTTTTTTGTTTGCTTTGGTGATGGATGTACTGACGCGCCACATCTAAAGGGAGGTGTCGTGGTGTATGCTATTTGCAGATGATATTGCATTGATTGACGAAACGCGAGACAGTATGAACGCGCAATTAGAGGTATGGTGGCAGACCCTGGAATCTAAAGGTTTCAAGTTGAGCAGGACCAAGACATGATATTTGGAGTGTAAGTTCAATGGTGAGACTCAAGGAGGGGAAGGGGAGGTGAGGTTGGACTCGCAAGTCATCCCTAGGAGAGAGAGTTTTAAGTACCTTGGGTCTATTATTCATGGGTATGGGGAGATTGATGAAGATGTTACACATCGTATTGAGGTAGGATGGATAAAATAGAGACTCGCTTCCGGTGTTTTGTGTGACAAGAAGGTGCCACCGAAACTTAAGGGTAAGTTCTACAGAGCGACGGTTAGACCAACGATGTTGTATGGGGCTGAGTGTTGGCCAGTGAAGATCGCTCATGTCCAGAAGATAAAGTTAGTAGAGACGGGGATGTTGAGATGGATGTGCGGGCATACCAGGTTAGATATGATTAGAAATGAGGTTATTCGCGACAAGGTGGGTGTGGCCCCTATTGAGGACAAGATGCGGGAAGCGCGACATATGTGGTTTGGTCATATGAGGAGGAGGAGGAGCACAGACGCCCCGATGAGGAGGTGTGAGAGGTTGACATTGGGGGACCTACGAAGAGGTAGAGGTAAAAGAAGAGGTGGGGAGAAGTGATTAGACAAGACATGACGCAGCTTCAGCTGACCGAGGACATGACCCTTGATAGGAAGGTATGCAGGTCGAGGATTAGGGTAGTAGAGTAGGTAGTCTAGAGTGTTCATAACAATAATATTGGCACACAGTCTTGCTTTATGTTGGTAGTAGGTTTTATGACTAACCGTTGTTTTCTTTTATTGTTGATCACCTTACTGTCTTGTTTTTATTCTGCTTTTATATGGCTTTTTGATACTGTCCCTTCTTATCTATATTTTCATTAATGTGTTGCTTATGCTTTCTTGAGCTGAGGGTCTATTACAAACAACCTCTCTATCCTCACAAGGTAGGGGTAAGGTCTGCGTACACACTACCCTCCTCAGACCCCACGATATGAGATAATACTAGGTATGTTGTTGTTGTTGTTGTTGTTGTTGTTGTTGTCTTATACATAGAAAACCATGACATTAGAAATACCATAATTTTTTATATATGGATAAGCATGTATAAATACAGAACTGCCCTTTTAAAAGCTATTCCAAAATTTTTTCAAAGAATATGGAGGATATTTTTATAAAAAAAAAAAGTTTAAAAAAAATTATGCAATACATTTTATTTTTAATATACCTAACTAAATAGTCAATAAGAAATAATTTCAATATAATTAATCTCAAAATTACTAATCCTAATATTACTAATACGCCATACTCCGTATCATTCTTATACGCCCTGCCAAAACTCTTAGTGATGTAATTGGCAACTTATCCAATAATAAGAAGTGAATATAGAAGTACGTCGTTTTCGGGTCCTTTCATTTTATCTTAAGGCAGAAAAAGAAAAAGAAAAAGAAAAAGAAAAAGAAAAAGAAAAAGAGAGCAGATATTACAAGCCAGGACGATAACAGTTAACCGTCTTTTGAACCTTTGGCTTCATCATTGGGGTAAAATGTTTTTGACTGTAGTTGCGCTTGCGCCTCTTCGTTTATCTTTGGGCCAAAAAAGAAAGAAAAAAAAAGATTTACGACACGAGGAGAAATTTTGTTAAAAAATTCTTTTTAATTTGAGAAAGATTAATATGTAAAAATCTCTGCCATCATCATTCTATTCGGAAAATTTTATTTTGTGTCTTATCACTTATGCAACTGACACTAATTGTATGAGACATCTTTTTTATCTTACAGTTTTGTGGATCCAAATATTTATGGACCCAAAAGTGTAAGATTGGGGTCCACAAATTTGTGAGACAAAAAGAAACCTCACATAACTAGTGTCAATTGTATGAGGCACACAATAAAAATTTTCATTCTAGTCTGATTTGTGATACTAGTAATAGTTTAGTCGCCATTTTTATCAGGTTAATATTAATGACTTAATGCGTATTATAAAGATTTGTATATAGTTAGCTTATAAGTAGAGGGAGATCCAGAATTTTTTAATTGCGGGTGCTCATCAGTCTTTAACTCTACTTTTACTTTTAGGATTGGGTGGTCAATCAATATTTTTGTATATAATTACTAGTTCCCAACATAGAAATATAATGTTTGGCTAAAAAATATTAGTGCTTAAGTACTCATAGGGTTGAATATAGATTCGCCATTGCTTATAAGTAGTTTTTAAGTACATAAAATTCACTTTTCTAACTTTTCAAAGACAAAATAAATATTTAGGCATTATTATTTAATCTTTAAAACTTAAAATTTGCATCAAAACACTATTCTATGGCTAGATCAATTTAGATTTAGGGGCAGGTCGGATTCAACCATTTACATGAGCATGTGAGTTTTTCACTGGAACCCTAGGTGAGGAATCACTCTAAATCTTGTTTTTCAACCGACTAATTTGCTAATATTATTAATTACTAATATTACATTTTTCAAAAAATAAAGAAAATAAAGGGGTGCGGCAGCCAAGCTAATGCCAGAAACAATTAAACACGCTACTATATAGTATCACTTTCAATTTTTGTCACTTTCTCGCTCTCTTGATCCAATGCTCTTTTAATTTAATTATTTATTATTGCATAAATGGTCCACCTTGGACACAATACATTAGCAGAACACACGCTCAACCAATGGCCACACGTGCAAACTCCGTGTACCCTTAATCTTTCGGGCAGGTAAGAGTTTTATCCTCAAACGTACTACTCCTAAAGCATCATATACAACTACTTAAAGCCAGATCAAGTCATTCTTGAATTTTATACCCCATCTATAACAGCATGACTTGTGTCATACCCTGACACCCTTTTTGATAAGCTAATTAAAAATCATAGTTATCTTGTCTTTATATAACAGAAATTAGTTACCCTTAAATTTAATGTGTAGTTTCTTGAAGTGTTGAGATTGAGGGAGCTGAAATTAAAGGGAAAAAAGATGGGATTTGAGAGTATGAAGAAATTGAAGCCTTTGTTGCATTTGTTGTTGCCACTATGTGTGCACTGGATTGCTGAAGAGATGACAGTTTCAGTGCTTGTTGATGTTACAACTAGTGCTCTTTGTCCTGGCAATTCCACTTGTTCTGAAGCTATTTACATTAATGGTGTTCAACAAACAGTATGGAATTTTCCACTTATTCTTCTTCTGGTCTTTTATTGTGTGCATAGTATCTTCTTTTGTGTTTTTTTTTGTTTCCCTTAAGGATTCTTGAGAAGGGAGTCTTGGCGTAACTGGTAAGGTTGCTGCCACAATAGACCCTTGTGGTCCGGCCCTTCTCCATCCCCGTGCATAGCGGGAGCTTAGTGCACTGGACTGCTTTTTTTAAGAAATCTTGACATAAAGAATGTTTCTTTGTTATGTGAGTGCTTGATTTTTTTTTTCCGGTGCTTGATATTGAATTGTGTGACTTACCTCGTATAAAAGCTTAAGCTGTTAGAGATTTGAACATAGGACCCTGCCACTCTCATACCATGTTGCCGTGTGTTGCCACATCTAAAAACTTAAGTTGTTAGAGATAGTACACTTTTATTTACTTAATTAGATCTTCTACACTTAATTCTATGATTTATGTTTGGAAATAGGATATTGACTAGAAAAAAGAAGCTGAACTCTGGACTGGGCTGGACTGCATTATGGTACTTGTTAATTGTTATGTACTCGACTTGTTTCATTTGTGGATATTTTGAAAATAGTTATTCATTTAAATGTTATTACTACTATGGAGCAGTAATGTGTGTGGTTGTGGTGGTGGTAATATCATCTTCAGATTGAACTATTCAGCTACAATTTTTTTTGTGTCAGTGCTTCGATAGAAGTATACTATTGTGATTTTTGAGGGATGTATGGCTCTTAGATTATCAAGATAGACTTTCATTTCAACAAATAGAAAGGGGAGTGAGCTAAATTGTATAAGTCGACATTTAACATGAACTGCTTGCATTTAAGGAACTGTGACGTAACCTGTTTCTTTTTCAGCTGTCGATTTTGGCAAAAAAGTTCCACTCTAGGTACTTTTTTCCAACTTCTTAGATGTGCTGAAATATCTTCCTAACGACGAAATTTCAGCTCTACTCATGGAGTTAAATCTTCTGTAGATATCCTCAGAAGTATTTGGAGTACTTTGATCTTTATATTAAATATTCATTTGTATAGTTTATATATGCTGGAAGTTCAATTTGGCTTCTGGCTTTTAGCCTATGTTTACAGTCATTCTAATGATATAGATCTTAGGAGTTAGAATTTCGAAATACAATTTGTTGAACATACTAATATTATGGCTATGATTAAGAAGGCGGGCAGAATTAGTTCCCTTCAAAAGTAAAGTTGAATTTCTGTATTAGCACAAAACCACTTAGAGTGGTCGCTGGAGAAGAAAGCTTGGACTGATAAAATGTAAATTCGTCCTCTGCAGATTCCATTGTTTTAAAGCTGTTTATTGATAAATGTTGTTGCACCATATAATATTGTGATATGCATAAGGAGATGGTCCAACCTGTAAGCAAACTGACTTTTCTTTTGGGCATTGCCACTCCTTAGGGATGGAAAGACTGAGCAGTACACTTCAATTTGGTTTGTTCTGGTAGAAGGTTTTTTGTAACCGGTAGTGTAAATATTTTATAGAAAGTGCAGTACCTACCCAATGGCTTTTAACTATTCTCCGACTTTAAGGAATTTTGTGCAAATGCAGGTTGTTGGAATATTCAAGATGCTGGTCCTTCCTATCCTAGGTCAGCTTTCAGATGAGTATGGGCGTAAACCGCTTCTTCTTCTCACCATATCCACAACAATTATTCCTTTTGGTATGTATTGCATTTTTTATGTTACGCAGTAATATACAAATATCATCTTTAGACAATATAGTAGTATCTATATAGATTTGGGGTCACTGTTCTATGTACGACTGACAGTTTTCTGCTATGGCTATTATCCGTTATTAATGCTCATTCTTTCTGTCTCTCTGTTCCTTTTAACATTCCAGGTTTACTCACCATCAATAAGTCAAAGGGATTTGTCTATGCTTATTATGTCTTGCGGACAATTTCTTATATCATAAGTCAAGGGAGCATTTTCTGCATCTCTGTTGCTTATGCGGTAGGACTTTCATCTGGTAACTTTGCCGACAGGCATTAAACCTGTCCTAATTTATCAAGAATCTAACTGCAGGTTTTCTTTTGCTTTTTTCAGGCAGATGTTGTTGACGAGAGTAGTAGAGCAGCAGTTTTTAGTTGGATTACAGGCCTTTTTTCTGCATCTCATGTTATGGGGAATGTCCTAGCACGTTTTCTTCCTGTCGGCTACATTTTCCAGGCATGTTGGTTCCATAGCTTGACCAATTTTGCGAGCCATAGTTTCTACTATTGCTATATATCGCCGCTCTCCTAATGAATTTTTCCCGTTCAGGTTTCAATAGGTCTCTTGATCTTTGTTCCTATTTATATGATACTGTTTCTAGAAGAGACTGTAAGTCCAAATACAGAGGTGAACCAAAGTTCGACAGTAAAGAGCAAGGCATTGAAGGTTGTTCAGGAACGATATAATTCGATGAGATATGCTGCAAATATTGTCACTAGCAGGTAATTTTGCACGTGTCTTTCATTACGTTTCAGGTTCTGCTACCACATGTCGATTTGGCGCACAAATGATTCCCAATACTAGCTCATTAATGTTATCTTGTATCACTTTCCTTGTGTTTTCTAAATGACATTTATTGCTCTCAGTCCAACACTGAAGTGCATTTCTCTCGTTTCTTTCTTCTATGAGTTGGGAATGTCCGGCATCAGCAGCGTTTTGCTGGTATGTCACCTGCTTCTTTCAATTTTCCCAGTCCCATATTAGTACATCCTTCAGGACCCTTAAAATATGAGTACTGATGAGTCTTTGTTGCCTTTTCAAGGGATTACACTGTGAATCTCGACTTTATCTGTAATGATTGAAAATTCATGTACGTTAGTTTTATTTGTGCAGTACTATCTGAAATCAGCTTTTGGCTTCAACAAGAATCAGTTCTCAGAAATTTTGATGATGGTGGGAGTCGGTTCTATAGTCTCGCAGGTAATCAGAATATTGAGCCTTGAGATGTCCTTTTGATAAAGATATTGAAACCGTTCCGGCTATGTGCGTCTTTAACAGACTATTCCATACATTTACCTCTTTTCTGTATTAAATGTATCTAGCCAAGTTTTTGTGTTTGTCATATGCAGACATTTCTTTGTTCATATGTACATAAATAGATATATATTCTAAAATATTGGTGAGATCACATATCTTGTACTCACAAAGATATAATGAAAGTAAGCATTACAATGTCCTACTATCTTTGTCCTACCTTTCAAAGGAAATGCCATGTCAGAATATTGGTTTCATGTTCGACGCAATATTCCATGTCCTTGTTAAATAGCTCATAGATATCTCTTCTATGCTATCTCCTAAATAGGTCTTTCTTGTCGATCAGACCCACTGAAATCTGTATTTTTATCTGCTGCATTTTTGGCTAGTTCACCGTGTATCCTGTACAAACTCTAGTTTCATTATGTGAAATTTCTATTTTGTGCTTACCTTTGTAATTTCATATTTCCAGATTGTGGTGCTTCCTCTTATAAATCCTCTTTTTGGGGAGAAAGTGATACTTTGCATGGCCTTGCTTTCATCAATAGCCTATGTAAGTTCCCTTGATTAATTTTAAGACAAAAACAGGCACATATTCTAAAGGGAAAATAACCTATTAATGCGCTTTGTTTTGCAGGCAATGCTTTATGGATTAGCATGGGCACCTTGGGTATGTTACTAATTATTTAAGATAGATGTGTTTGAAAGCAGAACATTGCCTCTTAAAAATGAGAAAATGCTGACCTGAGGGTCATATCTACACAACAAAAATCCTCTTTTCTTTAGTAGACTTTCTACAACTTAGCAAATTGTTTTTGATAAGAGAAGAAGAAAATGACATGAAAGGATGCCGATATTTTGACTTTGGTAATGAATAAATTCATATGATCTCCTTTTATGTGAGAGTAAAATGAAGTGGCATTTTTCAAATACACTAGTAGACCAAACTGTTTTGTGTAAGTAACTAATTGCATATAACAAAAGCTTCATACTCATTTTTATCCCCTCCTCCTCTTCCCCCCAAAGCTTAACTGTTTCTATTACCCTTTTTGTTTTTGCTGATACCAAAGCATAAAATATCGTATTTGACTGTCTTTGCTAACACAGGTTCCATACTTAAGTGCTTCTTTTGGGGTCATCTACATCCTTGTTAAACCCTCTGTGAGTAATTTCTCCAAACTTTTGTCCATGATTTCACATTATGTTGAAGAGCTTAATACTTGTTGATTTTCTTCTTAATAATCAACAACAACAACAACAACAACAACAACCTAGTGTAATCCCACAAGTGGGGTCTGGGGAGGGTAATATGTACGCAGACCTTACCTCTACCCCGAGGGGCAGAGAGGCTGTTTCCAGGATTTCTTCTTAATAATCCCTTATCCTTTTTGCTTTCTGACAGACTTATGCTGTTATATCCAAAGCGGCACTTTCAGCAGATCAGGTTAGTGAAATAATGAGATTTGCTTTACCAAAGTCAATGCCCTGCTTCAGCTTTGAAACCAAGGGGCAAAAAGATGCTAATTTAGGGAACACGTACACATCCCATCAAATCATGGACTAACTCAAATCAGTGTTTTTTGTCCAATATCTGCCTTAACGAAATCTCTATCTTATGGATTATGGGAAAGTTTCAACCTAAACACTTGTAGTTGTGGCTTGCTAGAAAGCTGAAGTCTAAAGACATTATATTGAAGCAATCCCTTTTTCACTTCTCCTTTTATAAACACCTGCTAACTTCTCAATCCTATTACAGGGCAAAGCACAGGGATTTATTGCTGGCGTTCAGTCAGTCGCGAGTTTGTTATCTCCTATTGTGATGAGTCCATTGACATGTAAGTCATCTTTGGTGCGCTTAAAATTTTTAGAGACATCTCAATCGACTGTGTTTAATCACTGACATAACGTTCTTTCAGCGTGGTTTTTGTCTCGTGATGCACCTTTCAACTGTAAAGGATTCAGTATACTTTGTGCATCTTTATGCATGGTAAGCTGTTTTATTTCTTTCTTTCCGCGACTTTTTCATATGTCATACCTGTTCTTGTGAAAGCTTTAACTTACACAAATTCTGCAGGTGGTTTCACTGTATTATGCTTGTATGCTAAAAGTAGAGGCTCCATCAAAGAAGACCTTCGACGAAAATGCAGAGAACATTGAAGCACCACTTTTGGCATGATACTTAAGACGTGTAACCATTATACCAAAATTTTCCAAGCTATAGTCCCCGAAGGCTGCATTTACAATGACAATTAGTCCAGTCTTCCTACGATAGAGTTGTAAATCTTTTGAAGCTAAGTCTAATCTAGGTTAGAAGAGGTGTATTAGTCTTGAAATCTAATTTGATCTGTTTGGTTATTCTTCAATGTATCTCTTCATTTTTTCGTCTCAATTAAAATGTTGGCTTGTACTTTGTACTCTCAACTTTACATGGAAATGGGATTATGGATATATTGGTAAATTCAATAGGTTGCTTACAATAGCATGGATATACTGTGTGATGTGTTGGTTAGATGCATGTAACGGCTTCGAACTTTGCCAAAGACAAAATTTTGGTATTAAGATGGAGAAGAATAGAGAGGGGCCCATTATGCAATGAGTTTCGAACTGTGTGTTACCGGTCTCAGAGATTTTTCGGTTATCAAAAAAAGAAAAATACTTAACCTTACTATACATTGTTCATGACAGAGTTGAAAGATCCAAAAATAAATTAGGTTTAGAAATGAAGTAGTTATATTCTCTAGATATGATCCAAATGGGAATTGTTTTGTATTCAAAATGAGATTTAGAGCTCAAATGCTACTTTTAGGGTGCATCACAGTCTACAAATACCATTCTCATCAATATATTTTGGTTTCTTTCATTTTCTTCGTGGTCCTTCTCTCATTAAATTATTGTATATCATCGTCGTTCTAGTTATTTTTCCAATCAGTAATCTTACTTTGCCGTTACCTCTTGATTCCATTTTTATGAAGTAGAGTATTATTTAATGAATTAAACAATTTTATTTAAATGTTGTAGTTTTAAATAGTTTTGAAACGTTCCCAATTAATACACATTTACGTGTTTTGTTTTAAAGAGCAAAATCATAACAAATCTTATTGAACGTTGTAGCTAATTGTCAATACAGTATTGACCCAAAACTTTCAGAAAACATCACAAGAAGTAGCAAATCTAGTATGTCAAAGTTACATCAAAGTTAATTGTCAATACATTATATTGACCCAAGTTTTTCACCAAAAAATAAAAAATCATAAGAATTAGCAATGTGTAGGATGCCCATGTTCCGGGGCCAAGAATGAGAAGATATCGAACTGGTATTCATGTTGCAACAATAAATCAAATTCAAAATCAACATCAGCAGGATTACCAAATAGCCCATTGGAGCAAGGCTGTTCAATTGGATCAAGTTCAAGTTGTTGAACATAATTAGCAGTAGAAAACCCAATCTCTCCATCCCAGTAAGCGCATGGCTGTATTTCAGTTGGACCAAATTCTTGAGCATTAACAGAGTTGCTACCACCTCCAATAATATCGCTCAATATTTCAGCAAATTCTCCATCACCATCACAATTCATAGCAGTAATTGATTTCCCATTCAAGAACTCAATTCTCCTTTTTACAGCCTCAATTTTTGAGTCCAATGCCAATAAAACATCCTCTTTTCCCTTTCTATTTTCAACATCAACAACAACATTCTTTTGCTTTTTCAAAGAATATTGTCTGTACTGATCAAGAACTGGGTTGAGATCAGCGGGATTTTTGGGCCAAGTTTCTACGGTTCCGTCGGCATCGACAATAATGGCGCAGGCCTTGACGTCGCAGAGAATTGAAAGCTCCATCGTCTTCTTCAAAACACAAGCCTTTCTCTTTAACATTGCTCTTTTGTCTGCCTTCATTGTAAAATAAAGAAAATAAAGGGGTGCGGCAGCCAAGCTAATGCCAGAAACAATTAAACACGCTACTATATATCACTTTCAGTTTTTGTCACTTTCTCGCTCTCTTGATCCAATGCTCTTTTAATTCAATTATTTATTATTGCAGAAATGGTCCACCTTGGACACAATACATTAGCAGAACACACGCTCAACCAATGGCCACACGTCCAAACTCCGTGTACCCTTAATCTCTCGGGCAGGTAAGAGTTTTATCCTCAAACGCACTACTTATATAGCATCATGTATAACTACTTAAAGCCAGATCAAGTCATTCTTGAATTTTATACCCCGTCTATAACGAGTCCAAAACTTAAATGGCAATTTTTTGGACTCAAAATAGGTTTCTATAGTTTTAAAAAAAAAGTTACTTTTCTACCTAAAACGCGGCATTATACTGCGTTTTACTTTAACAGAATTTTAGCCGTTAAAGTAAAACGCAGTATAATACTGCATTTTACATAAAGCGCGATATAATACCGCATTTTACTTCTTAAATTTAAAGCCCCCTTCTTCCCCACGACAGAAGCAGAAGCCATCCTCTATTTTTTAATCCCACTGCGCCCCCCCCCTCGTTTTCTCAAAAATAAAATAAAATCGAGTGGATCCCACCTGTCACACAAAAAGTTAAGATTGTAGGTTCCGCATACAACCCAAACCTTCTATTGTTGTGGTTTCCTTGTTTTGGGCTCAAAATTTCAATTTTTCGACTTTTCTAAAAACATAAATCGAGGTATTCCGATTTAGTTTATGTCGAAACTCGTATAATAATGCATATTAATTGTCTTGAATGTGTTTCCACATTGTTTTGTGTTTTGTTTGCGAATAAATTAGTATGTTATTTTTATCCGGGTTAAATTATTAGTGTTTAAAAAAAATAGTTAAAAGTTGAAAAATAATTTTTCTTGTTATAAAAATGTTCATAAATTTCTTTTACTGTTTTATATGTAATTTCGTGAATGTTATGTTATTAAATATGTTTGTTGTTTTTATTTAGTTTAAATTATTTATTTGTTTAAAGAATAGTGCCCTTATAGCGTAGTAAAATATATAGCCTTATAGCGTAGTAAAATATAGAGCCTTTTAGCGTAGTAAAATTTAGAGTCTTTTAGTGTAGTAAAATATAGAGCCTTTTAGCGTAGAATCTTTGTAGTTTAAGTATCTACTAACTACAAACTCTATCCAATTACACTTTACAAAAATTAATTATTTAATTTATAAAATAAACACAAAGAACTAACAAATTAATATATTCTGTCAAAATTCTAAAAATATTGAAATTGACACATATAAGAATTCAGGATAGTTTGGTGCTACTCGGCCTCAAATATCGAGCCTGGAACCCATAGATATTTACTCTATCCAATTAAATAATTAAATATTAATTATTATAACACAAATAAAATTTTAAAAATATTGAAATTGATACACATAAGAATTCAGGATAGCTTGGTGCTACCGACCCTCAAATATCGAGTCTGGAACCCATAGATATTTACTCTGTCCAATTAAATAATTAAATATTAATTATTATTACACAAATAAAATTCTAAAAATATTGAAATTGACACACATAAGAATTCAGGATAGCTTGGTGCTACTGGGCCTCAAATATCGAGCCTGGAACCCATAGATATTTACTCTGTCCAATTAAATAATTAAATATTAATTATTATAACACAAATAAAATTATAAAAATATTGAAATTGACACACATAAGAATTCAGGATAGTTTGGTGCTACTGAGCCTCAAATATCGAGCCTGGAACCCATAGATATATACTCTGTCCAATTAAATAATTAAATATTTAATTTATAACATAAACATACAATTAATATGGCCTTAGGCCCCCCAAATATTTAAGGCCCTAAAAATATAAAGTACTACTATATCATTATATAATATATGTAATTTATATTTATACAATTATTGATAAAATATTTTAAATTCTAATATTTATTTAAATTTGGTAGACGTAAGATTGAATGAGTTAATAGGATAAAACTTTTCTCTCACTAAATTAAATAATATATTTATCTTCTCATCAATTCTATTTTTCTTTCTTTCTTTTTTCATATTTTTTACCATTTTACTTTCTAATTTAAAATCAAATTCTCTAAATTAGCTATTCATTTTTGTCACATTTGATAGATCCTCGTACCAGTAATCAAGTTCTTTTGTGTCTCATTTTTTTTAACTAATAAATCTCAGAGACAATTATCGTAAGGTTCAAAACACGATCGATAATAGGCTCAATCCTTTTACAATTTTCATTTAATGCTATATTTTTTATAGGGAGTTCAATACCATATGAGTTACGCCTAACCCACATATTATACGTTATTCTGTCACCGCTTTTTTTTGTCTCAATATTATATGGATATTATGAAAGAAATTTCAGAGTCTTTTAATATATTTTAGTTTTAAGCCACCAGTTTCGTTGAGCCGCCCTCATTAATGATCAACAATTATTTAGACCACTCCCCGTGAACGTGTTATTCAAGAGCTTCATTCACATTTGATAACTAAATAACACATTCGCTGATTGTTGTCTTATCTTATTTGAGACTGTATAAAATTTGATTGAGAATAGCAGGGGGATGGACATGTGGCTCGATTAGGAGACTAGTAAAGCTTTAATTTAGGTCCCCAAAAATTTTTTAATAATAGATTTTATGATTTTATTTCAAGTTAGACAATATTAAAGTTTGCAACAAAAAAAAAACCAATAAACCTTGGACAATAGAAAGAAAGACTATCTACTCTTTAACACTAAAAATATTTTAGAACTTTGAATTAAATTACTTAGATCTTCATATTAGTAAATATATTTTTTACAACAAAATCAAAGGTAACATATTGAAAATACATGTCTTACATCCAATTTATTTAAGTTACCTCTTACTAATATAAATGATAATACTACTATGTGAAGTTAAAGGTTTCATCATTTAAGCATGTTATATTATAAATAATAAGTATAAAAAAATGGCAACACTATCTTTTTTTTTTTTTTGTATAAGTGTGTGTATATATACTAATAAAAAAGTATAAGGCCTCTTATTAAATTTCACTTTAGGCCACAAACTTTATGGAGCCGACATTGTATGAATGATATGATAATTTCAGGTAAACAAAAGTGCAATTAGCAGAGATAATTAGTACTATTACATTGTAAACTATCTGAATGTGCTGCAGAGGCACATGTTTCAGAGATTATTATTACATAAGGAAACAAAGCAGAACACGTCAAAGGGCAGCTCTCACATTTACGTATTTACAATACGTTTATTTTACATCATAGTGTTTGACCCTTGACTTGCAAAATGAGAACTTAGAGCCCGTTTGGACATATAAATTTTTTCCTTTTTTCATTTTTTTAAAAACAATGTTTGGTTATGCCATTCTTACCAGTTTTTCCAATTTCAATTGAATTTTTTTTTTCAATTGAAAATGGGAATTTGCTAGTTTTTAGTTTTACAAATTTATCCTATATTTTTAAAATTTATAAAATGACCCCATCAGTTATT